AATTATTCACGGGACTCCCGCAAAATAGAAATATCTAAACATAAAATATCTAAAACAAATAAATTGTTATTCATCTATTGCACAAAAGCAACACAAACTAATATAAATATAAACGATTAACAGGTGCAAGCGTATGCAGAGTTTCTATTTAGGCTATACAAGTGTTTGCAGCGTATTTGCGTGCTCACGAATCCTCTCATTATAACACACAAATTGTAGACATTATGAAAGGTTCATTATGCATATATTTATTGTGTTATAACAGAGATTTGTGAGATTGCGATGAACTGAGATGTCTTTTAGAGATTATAAATGCAGCGCTCTTTGCTGGCATTCTGCCATGCCAAACCATGCATGCAGCAGCCGCTTGCTTGAGTTAAAAATAACAGTGTTCTGTGAATGTTGATGCTTTAATAACAGATACTTATCGGGAGCGTGTATGCTGGGATCTCATACATTTCATGGAGAAAAAAAGTAACGTAACTAGTAATGTAACTAATTACTAATTCCTTTTGAAATAAAGTAATCAGAACAGTAACGTGATTACTTTTAAAAGGAGTAATCAGTCATTTGATTACATTTTCAGAGTAACTTGCCCAACACTGGTTGTAACACACACACCGCCCCCTCCACTGCACCCAAGTCTTACCATTGAGGCTGAGACTATGCTGGATGGTAGCGTGGAGAGGGGGAGGAGGAGGAAGAGGCAGAGGGAGAGACTGCAGGGAGGCCCCCATTACACTCACTAGGAAAGGCCCAGGCTGCGGCCCACCTATATCGTCTGGAAGAGAGCAGGAGGGAGGGTTCAGAGCCAGGAGAATAAGGAGACGTCATAGAAAAAGCAATGGAAGGGTAGACAGAAGGCTAAAGTCTATTAGAATGAGACAGGTGCCACGGACGATGAAGAGGAATCAGAACATGACTGAATTCAACCATAACACCATTCAGCTTCAGAGCAAAGGGACGACAACATCATTCATTCTTGCATTTATTACCAAACATAGAACAAAATGCAGCCGGATTATACTGTGCAAACTGCAGTATTGGAATTAACATGAATATTACATTCAATGACTTTGTGCTTTTTGTATGAATAACATGTGGGTTTTGCCTGTCTGAAGCATAAAGGAGCAGGACAAATCCTCCAATTATGTGACAATATCTGATCCTCTTATAGCACTTGAAGACTAAAACACCGTGACAGGAAGCACATGACATGGGGAAACAACAAGGGCATCTGTAAAAAGAAATCCACACGCTGATATGTGCATTCAATCATACACTCACGGCACTGGAAAATTCATTTCTTCCCAGCTGTGAAGAAATTATGTGGAGTATTTTTTAAAGAATATTCTGGTTTCAATACAGTGTTATTTGGGTATCAATGAGATACTATTGTAGTTTGTATTAATACTTAATTTTTTTATTATATATTGTTAGTTTTCTAAAATTTTAGTAACTTTGTTCTATGTTTTTGTCTTTTTTTTTTTTTATATAACATCAAATTTATATATAATATAAAATATAAACGTTTCTATAAATTTTATTTCAGTTTTAGTTACATCAAGTTAAGTTAAATGAAAATGGGAAATGTTGCCTTGGCAGCTAACAACATTTTTTCATGGTTTTAGGTTTAGTTAACTATAATAACCCTGGTTCAATGCAAGATCTTTTAACAACATTTGTGACACAATGTTGATTACCATAAAAATAAAAAATTAATTATTTCCCACTTTTTCTTTTAAAAAACTAATCTGGGTAAAATCTCTTACAATGGAAGTTAAAATGCATACTGTTTCAATAGTCCAGCAACATGATGTGAACAATATGAGTGTTAACATGATTGTAGTGTGGAAAAATCTCTTAGTAACCTTTTCAGTGTAAAGTTATATCCAATTTTGCAACTTTCTTGTCATGACAACACAATGCTGTAAACTTTAAAACATCTGTAACAAATACTTTAAAAGTTTTACAGCTCAATAATACACACATTTTAGCAAAAGAAATCATTTAAGTGATTTTTATAAAATTAGAATTCTAAGGTTAGAATTTCTGCTTTTAAATTCTCCAGAAAGTGGCCGCTTTTTTCAAGTACCATTTTACTTTCAAAGTTATTTTTATGCTATCAACATTATGCCACAAATGCTGTCAGTTGAGCTTAACTTGAATTGAAACCCAGAATATTCCTTAAAACCGCTACCCTAAACGTGATAAGCAATCAACTTCAAACACACAATGACTGAATAATCCACATACCTAATCATCTTCGTTCACTCATGACAAAGACTGCTTCTTCATTCATAAATACTCAGATCTAATACCTATATCTCCAGTACAGAGATCATTTCAATCTTCACTACCAGACCACACAACCACACTGAGCTGATGTACTGGAAGAGCGTATGCGGAGGCCTCACTTGATTAGAAACGGAACTGCTGGCCTGTATGCCAAATACTGTTGAAGTCAAACCACACCTAGACTTACACAATAACTCACTTTAAATGGCGCTTCTGTGAATTTTATAGTTGCAAAATGCAATCAGAGACTCCGGTAACCATGAAATGAAAAGAATGAAGTCAAAAATAAAACAGGGAAATGAAAGGACAAAGTGAAAGAATAAGCAAGTAGGCTGACACGGCATCTTTAACATCCGCCTAGGGTTCGATCACAAAGGTGAAGTGAAAAAGATCACTGTTTAGAACTGATAACACGCCGTAACATGCATCTCAACAGTGTCTTTTTTTGAACACTTGTGATGGGATTTTGAGGAGAGGGACTCTAGTTTTCAAGACTACATACATTACTTACTATTCCAGCGTCAATGCATTTTGATACAGCACAAAAAAAATTATTGATTGACAGGTGAGCAGGCAATCCTTTGACGTTGTCTGAGACAAATTCGCATTTACACTACAAATGTGATCTGGTTAAATGCGTTTGGTCTGAACGATCACAAAATAATTTGACCATATTTATGTATTTATGTCTATATTTAGTGCCCACCACTTGTGAGTGAATCACCCAAAATGGATGTCAATTCCAAATTCCAAAGTTTGGAGTCAGTAATTTTTTTTTAAAGAAATTTATATTTTTATTCAGCAAGGATGAAAAGGGCCCATAAAGACATTGATAATGTTACAAAATCTTTCTATTTCAAGTAAATGCTATTCTTCTGAACTTTCTATTAAAAAAAGGTTAATGCCACAAGTTTCCACAAGTAGTTTCCACAAAAATATTAAGCAGCATTGTTTTAATATTGATAATAATAAAGTTTCTTGAGCAGCAAATTAGAATAATTTCTGAAGGGTCATGTGACACTGAAAACTGTAATGGCTGCTGAAAAATCAGCTTTGCATTGCAGGAATAAATAACATTTGAAAATATATTCAAATGGAAAACAGTTATTTAAAATTGTAATAATATTTCACAGTATTTCTTATTTTAATATTTATGGTATTTTTAATTAAATAAATGCTGCCTTGGTGAACATAAACTGTTTAAAAAACATTTTAAAAAATCTTACCAACCCCAATTTTTTTAAACGGTAGTGTATAAAACTATGCGCATAGACAGATACAGAAGATAGAGGTGTCAGTATAAAGGATAAAGGGAATGTACTCGGAGGCTGGGAGAGGTTACTGTAGACATATTTAAAAAGTGTGAAACAGATGGAGATGTGAAAGGTATGAATGAAGGAGTGCAGAAACGATGGAGATCAAGGAGGTGTGTGAACATCTGTAGTGGGGCTCACCTAGCAGACTGAGGCTCCGCCGAGGGGGAGGTGGAGGAGTGGGAGGGTGAGGGGAGTTCCTGCCTCTCTGAGAGATGTCCACATCAACCAAGGACACAGTCTCTCCTGTGACCAGAGTTAAAGCATATATTTCATTAAGGTTGTTTGGGCAGAAGAACTCGCCTGGCCGTGTCTTGTTCCCCACCGCTCGCTCCAGACATGTCAACTAAACTGCCCGCTGAGGATATGGAGAATGTTACTGAAGGTCTCTTGTCCAAAATCTCTGAGAGATGTCCACATCAACCAAGGACACAGTCTCTCCTGTGACCAGAGCCACAAAACAGACAAGAGCCATAAGAACAACATGCATTACAATAATGTAGAATAATTCCAAAGATTGGCCTAAAATGAGACAAATCTCATCCAAATCATTTGTCTGTGTCAATTATATTTCCCATGCACTGTGTAAGCTATAATTAGCGCTTTGCAAATGTGCCTTCATTTCATGTATTCCAAGGATTCCTTTAGCTTCCAGCCCATTCTGTTCCCTTAAATCTTTGTTTACCTGTAAAAACGGGAGTAAAAGAGGCTGCAGAAAAGGCACTCTGTGCCCTTGTTAGTCCAGGTTGGCTGCAGAAAGAAAATCATCAGATTTTAAGAAAGACAACAAATTAATTTACATCCATTCTGTTCTGTATTTCAAGTTTATTGCATCATTTTTAGTCTAAAATATATAGTACACACATAATCACATTATGAATATCTTATCCCTTATACAGAAACTGCACTCACCTGTGATCCTTGGTCCAAACATGACATTGTGAAACATTGAAAACTATTAAAAATCGTTTACAACAAGTTTAGAACACCTCTTTATAAAATGTGTTTTATGGTAAAAAGTTTATGACAGAAAATATAAACTTTCTTATTGAATATTTATGGAGTAACAATTTATGTTAAAAAGAAACATGCAAAAAAAAGTGTCCCATTTCCAGGTTAATTTTAATCACCAGCATGTGTGAGAGGCTAAATCTTTGATTGAAATGTTAAATATGTATGGGTCAAATTTAAAGCTGGACAGCATGCTGAAAAACCATAGGTTGAAGGCTATAGTTTGTAGGTAAGTAAACAATGAATGCTATGCGCCATGTGTTCCCTATGCAATTTCCAATGTGTTTTTAGAAAAAGGTTTATGATTTATTAGTAAATTAAGGTCTGTGTTGTTCTACAACATAAAGGTTACTAACTGTATTAGGACTACAGTGGTTGTCCTGTTCATCTTTGTGAAAGTTGTAGTCATTACCGAACATGTTGTTACCAACTGTTTTCAATTTAGGTTTGAGGTATGTCTGTGTAGTTTATGTTGCATGAAAAAAACATG